GTGTGGATGTGTGGGTGTGTGTGTGATGTGTGAGTGTGACTGTGGATGTGGCTGTGTGACTGTGACTGGGTGTGGATGTGGATGTATGAGTGTGAGGATGTGATGTGGGAGTGTGGATGTGATGTGATGTGATGTGATGTGATGGTGTTAATGTGGATGAGTGGGTGTGGATGTGTTGGTTGTGTGAGTGTGGATCTGGATGTGGATGTGTGAGTGTGAGTGTGGATGTGATGTGATGTGATGTGATGGTGTTAATGTGGATGAGTGGGTGTGGATGTGTTGGTTGTGTGAGTGTGGATCTGGATGTGGATGTGTGAGTGTGAGTGTGGATGTGGGAGTGTGGATGTGATGTGATGGTGTTAATGTGGATGAGTGGGTGTGGATGCGTTGGTTGTGTGAGTGTGGATCTGGATGTGGATGTGTGACTGTGACTGGGTGTGGATGTGGATGTGTGACTGTGACTGGGTGTGGATATGGATGTGTGACTGTGACTGGGTGTGGATATGGATGTGTGACTGTGACTGGGTGTGGATGTATGAGTGTGAGGATGTGATGTGGGAGTGTGTGACTGTGACTGTGGATGTGGATGTGTGACTGTGACTGGGTGTGGATGTGGATGTATGAGTGTGAGGATGTGATGTGGGAGTCTGGATGTGATGTGTTGGTGTTAATGTGGATGAGTGGGTGTGGGTGTGGATGTGTTGGTTGTGTGAGTGTGGATGTGTTGGTAGTGTGAGTGTCGATGTTGATGCGTGAGTGTTGGTGTTGGTGTGGATGTGGATGTGGATGTGGGAATAGATATGTATGTGTGGGTGTGGATGAGGATGTGATCTGTGAATGTGGGTGTCGATGTATGGGTGTGTTGGATGTGTGAGTGTGGGTATGGAAGCGGTGTGTGGGAGTAGTTGTGGGTATGTTGATGTGGATGTGTGAGTGTGGATGTGATGAGTGAGTGTGGATGTGGGAGAGTGGGTGTTTGATTGTGGATGTGGAAGTGCGCGGATGTGGATGTGGATGTGGAAGTGTCAGAAAGCTGTGCAAATTGAGAGATTCACAGCTGAGAAAAGAATTACGAGCTGCGTTAAAAATAATCATAAACTCAAGAAGAGCAACAGCTTACAAAATGATTGCAGAAATTCGAACTCAAAGTTGGGAATACTACTACAAACATTGAACATTTTCTCCATTTGACTCAGAAATATTATTACAACGCAAACGACTCGAGAAAATAGGATATCCTTGACATGAAAATACGGTATTACTTACCACTCAGTGAGTAATTAGATTTATCACATAAGTGAAGTTGTGAATGAAAGAAAGTTGCAAGCAAATTGTGGACATCTTGGCTACTGAACAATATTAAACCTTAAAATTAAGTCACAATAAGTTTCTAGCTAGCTGTAGTTAAGAAAGTTTTGAGCTATATAATTGCACCAAGAATTTATGCAATCACTCAGAGTATTTGGATAATTATTCAAGCACGCCTACTCATCCAATACATTCAAAATAGCACTTATTCAACGGAACACTTAATTACGACTGTTTCAAACTAAAGTTATTAATTCATGTTCACCAGAGATGCTTAGTACTAGTCATTGCAACGTCCACATTTCTATGACAAAAAGATACGGTCATATATACAGTAATCCTTTCTCGTCTATGCTGTTCAGTGCTATTCCCAAATA